ACTAATTTCATATAATAATCAATTTGTTATCTAATTTTAAAAAATGTTGAATAATTTTTTTTTACTCATTATTTTATACGTTTAAACACTTAAACCGTTAAAATGAAATTGCATAAAATACCTGCATTTTATTCTTACTAATTTTATTATTACAAAATTAACATATATATTTGTAACGCACCTTACTGGTTAATGTATATTTTAACATAATATTAGTTTTATGAACCATGACTGAATTGGTAAATTGACGAAATTGGGAATGTTGTATTATCACATTATTTTTGAAAATTATATTTTTCATCGTTAAGAAAAATAAAAATTTTATTCATAAGAGGAATGTGTTTAATTACATTTATAACATTCTTTTAGTACTTAAATTTTAGCAGAAAATATTAAAGGAGTTCCCTGCACACAAGAAGTATGAAGATTTTAACACGAAGTCAGTTAATAATGAAGGCGAATATATTAAATTGTGTAATCATTTCCCAAACTCCAATGAAAATGAGGTTAATTTTTGTAAACGAGCAGTGACAATTTTAAGTGATATATTTAAGATTGGAAATGAAAGAGATCGGGACGACAGTTGTGTTTATTTTCAACATTGGTTCACTGATAATATTAGGGAAAAGTTTAGCAATGATAATATGTATTTTAGAAATTATAATCCGTCGAATTATCATTATTATGTAATGAACAACGTTAATTATGAGAACAAAACAAAATTCAAATATATTTGCTTGATTTCCCGTGATGAGAAAAATGTTAAAGTTGAAAAAGATTTGCATGATTATTTTAGAAATTTTTACTATATTAAATGTAATGGCGTAGATGAAAAAAAATGCCGTATGTATTATAATTATGTTAAATATATCATACCATTATATAAACAAAGTAGAGATAAACACTTCTGTTGTTTTCTTGCTAATGGTGAAGTAGAAGATCGATGTAAGCACTATTTTATATGTGATAAAATATATGATCCCCAAAATCTATTAAATGTGTTAGAAGGACAAATAAATGGATCAGCATGGAACAATTATACTAATAATCAAAATTATGAAGTCTACGATGAAAATAGGAACAGTTACGGTTCAAGTGTATTTCTACCCATTAAGCCTAAGAATTATGAATCAATTAATTATAATTTATTTTGGCCTCTAAAATTCCACAATGGGCTTATTGCTTTTGCAACGATAGGAATATTTTTCGGTATACTCTTATTCATCAAATTAAATAATATTACATTTTATTAAAAAATACTCTATAACCATATTTACATTTGTTCTTACATTTAAGTTAAACATATTTAACATATTTTTTATTTTTTTACTCGTTTAATAGTCGCATTCAAGAAAGATAAGAAGGAGGAGGAGAAGAAGAAGAAAAGAACAAATTATGTCAGATTATTTGTATGATATTGAAAGTTCTTACACAAGACAATCAACAATGGAAGATTTAGAATCAATTCCTTCAAGCACAGATACTGGAAGAGTATATTTTGCATATCAGTCTTCATAAAGTTCTGTGTGGTTAGTTCGTGCATAATAAAAACGATATGAGAAAATGATATTATGAAGGTATAAAATCAGTAATACATTTTTAAGTCTTATTATTTATATATATAAATTGTTACTAATTAGTTGTAGATTATAAATGATTAATAAATAGGTTTATAGTAGAATTAATTAGAGAATATCTACTAATGCACAGATGTATGATAGTTATAAGCATATAGTCAGATACATATTTTTGATACTAAAACTAATAGAAAATAAGCTATTAAGTTCAAAATTTATGGTTTGTGTTTTTCCTATTTTTAATAAAATATTCAACATTTATTCCTTTAACTAATATATGTCATAAAAAAAAAAAAATTATATAGTTCATTTCCCCTATGAAAATATATAAATGCCTATAGACACACCGTTTTATAAAATACATAACAAAAAAAAATTAAATTAACTACCTAGGTTAATAATCGATAATTTATTATTATCCATTTTATAACACTTTCACACACCCTCAGCATCTATTATACAAAAAAATTTAGTGTCATAACATTAATTATAGCTAATAGCATAAGTATTTTTATTTTTTTCATAACAAGTTTATTTTTGAAATTTTTATAAATTATACATTGGATGATGATTTGCGTATATATTATGTTAAAACATATATACATATTATCCTTTCAAGCTTTTTGTTTAACATAATATTCATATATTTCTTTATCATTCATATTAACTTTTTCTCTTTTTTACGTTGCATAATCATAATAAAATTTTAATAATTTTGTGGGAGCAGTTAATTAGATTTATTGACTTACATATATAATATTGTATTTACTGTTACATAATATACACAATTTTTGTTTATTTATTTGTTATGTCTAAAGGATTTTATATGTAATATTAAGATATTTACATATATGTGTTACGTTTATAAAACAACATGAATATTTCTTGTTGTACATTTACCTTGAATTATACATTATTTAAATATGCGTACTAATATTTTTGCATAATGCAAATTATTTGATGTATATTTTATAAAAACATTCTGATTTTTATCATGATATGAAGTTTCCATATAATCATTTTGTTATGACTGCATAAAAATAATATATACAAACTTCATGGGAAAACTAAGAATAACTTAATTTGAGATGATGCAATTAGTTTTATCTCATCTATAATTAAAATAAAAACCATTAAAGTGGGGAAAAGTAATGCAATGTCTTGCATAAAAATTTGAAGGATATTATGCACATCTTTTATATTTTAAAATTTATATGACTGTCTATTTTTTTTTTTTTTAAATTATTAGCTTTCTTTGTAAAGAATAAATTCATACTTAATTATTTATTTATTGTCGTATTAACCATCACTTTTTTAAAGGGATTAACTATGCGGTGCTAGAGAACAAATACCTGAATCCACTTTAATAGATAATGAAAGTACAGAAAAAATCATTATGTATAGGATAAATATATGTTATGATAAATACTAATAAGCATATATTATTTTTATTAAGAAAATAAATCCATATAGAGACATACATATAAATAATGTAGTTCTACATGAAATTGTTTGAAAATAGACGTCAAACAGTTATGTATCATGATAAATAAATAGCTTCACAATAAATAATTAATATACAAATTAGCTTGTCCTCGTAATAATATCAAAATAATACCAAAAAATAACAAATAAATATAATAGTTAACATTTCAAAA